GCCTAAAAGAAATAGAAACTTCGAACAAAATACGCGATACCTTGCTGTCGATCGTCATTGAATACAGCGCGGAGAGCAGCGTGCAGAGGGCGAACACCGAAATCCAGGCGGAGAGCAGCAGGGCCAGCGAGTGCGCTGGAACCGGAATATCAGTTCAATTCAATCGAAAACGTTTGAAAACACGAGGCAAAGCTAAAAAATGGAAAATACCTGCTGAAGAAGCATGGAAGGAGAGGATGACACACACGACACAGAGTAGAGTTGCCAGAAGACCGCGTCTACCCTAGAAAAAACCCATTATTATTTGTTAAATGCGGAACCTGGTCCTTCTTCATCACAATCGCCACCTTCTTCAGCACCCATTGCAACGCCATCGCTGCTGGGGGCCGGTTTTTACCTAAATAATTGGATTGTAAAATGCACTATACCTTCCAACAAATGAAAGGAAGGGGTCGTATAAATCTGAACGCCAGGAACGCTATCAAACCACTGCAAAAAGAAACTGGAATGTTTCAGACAAGCTTCACGACTCCACCAAGTGTCCAAAGGGCCAAAGTTACGCGTTGGAAAGGCGCGTCGATCCGCGCTTTAGGGGGCGTCAGTGCCCCGACAGCAAGCCTCCCAAAGAACCATCGAAAGTGCGCTCAGCAATTTTCGTTGTTGTGAAGCTCCGGATGTATCAAAATACAGCTCAAATGTTTTAGAACCCAGTCCGTAACTTTTACTGCTATTTGCCAAGTTCTTTATTGCAAAACGCACAGAAGCAATAGGTTACCAATTCGAGTCATCACAATTTCCAAAAAGAAGAAAAGACATCAAAAGCTATAAACTAAAGACAACGGGTTCAGCGGTCGAACTTGGCCGGGAAGCGTCCCTCGTCGATCAGCTCGTTCCACTTCGTCACCCAGAACCCGGGGCAGAAATCCTGAAAAAAAAAGGTTAGAAAAGCCGAAAGAAATGTAATACCTTGTAGACGTTCTGGAAGAATTTGCAGGGCTTGTAGTCTTGACCCATCAGCTCCTTGCACCGATGGAAGTCGACGAAGTAGGCGAAGCATTGGCGCTGTTTGCGGATCTGAAACAAAAAAATACAGGCTATCTGAAATTAGACGTAGATCCCTCCTTGGAGAAACCAAAAGTGCAAAACTATACATGTTTGCTGATTTCCGGGGCAAAAAAGCAAAGTTATACCTGCGGAAAGCGTGCATCGTAGGGCGCGGCCCAGAAGAACTCCCGGGCGCGCTCGTGCGTCTCCCGCTTGTACCAGTCGGGCGAGGCCGGGTTGCGCAGCGCCTCCCCGAACTTCTCCTTGTAGGCGGCCAGGCGTTCGCCGGTTGAAAGTGGCACGTCAATTTGGGCAGGCATCAAACTGAAAGTGAAGAGATTTTGGAGAAGGAAAACGCGCGACAAAGAGCAAGAAAAACGGCCACACAGCAAAAAAAACGAGAAACAAGATCCTCATGCGAAAAGCGGTAGTTTTCGTGCAGTTACAAAACCAAAAAGTGCCGGATTTCAAGAGTTTTCAAAAAAAGGTAAAAATCATTCGTCCGGAATTTTCGTGCAGTTAGAAAACCAAAAAGATAAGATTCCAACAGAGCTTTGCAAAAAAGGTGAAAAAACGTTCGTGGGGAGTTTGCGTGCAGCTACAAAACAAAAAATGTAAGATTTCAAGAAGGTTTTCCAAAAATGGAAAACATTTCTCGTCAGCAGCGCTCCGTTCCATTAGACCACCGCTCCGCCGTAAGTTGTAGCGCCGCGTACTATTCTTGCAACCAATTCACGAAATTCGACCAAATTCACGATTTTTTTGTGAACTTTTGGCAAACAAAAAACACCGGTCGTGCTGTATTTTGAAGTCTGGGTACGCGCCGTCTCTAGAACTCCAAAAAAAAACGATAAAACCACGCCCCAAAAACGCCAAATCTCGGAAAACGTGGGAAAGCCGTATCACGATTGGAATACCGTTGGCAACCGAACAGCCGGAAGCCGCACGCGCTGCCGCCTTTCAACTTCAAGAAGCTCGACCGCACTGCTGATTTTAGCACATCCCTCTTCCATTCTCTTTTTCCTGCTTCCGCAGCAGCGAGCTCTTTTATCAATGAACAGTTCTACTGTTAATGCAGCAACGCCCATCTGTCACCGGTTCAAATACTGGTATAAACTAACAAATAATGTGAATATAATAAACAATTTATTTTTGTACCTCCTCCAGCCATCCATCGGTACTTAATACCTCCATCCATCCTCCATCGGTATGTCCTTCCTTTTTCACATGGCCTCATAGCGGGCCATGGCTAATTTTTTGCATTCTTCCACGTGGTGGTTGCGCTCTAGGCAGAGGACACATCCCGTCGGAAGATCGCCTTGCCTCTGGAGCCGTGCGCGCACTGGGCATTGCATCAGCCCGTGCGACGTCTTGCGGCAAATTATGCAACCAAAGTCGGCAGCTGGCGTCTGGGCGTAGTCCTGAAAATGATAAGGCTTAATGATAGCAAAAAGAAACGAACAAAAGGTTTCTGATAAGACTTACTGGCTGCGTGGCACTATATGGGGGCGGCGGGCCATGGGGCGGCTCATCACCGGGGCGGCGCGGAGGCGGAGGTGGTGAGGCGCGCCGGCTATGGTTTCCACGTCGACTTTGTTGAGGTGGGCGAGTGGGTAGCGGCTGAAAAATGATAGAAATAATCATAAAAAAAATCAAACCCTAGGGAATGACGGCGGAAGTGGAGCCGGCACCGGCCGGAATTGGTGAACGGTCCGGTTTACCCGCGCGGGACGGCTTGGGCTGCTGGGGGCGGTCGCGTATGCTTCTTCATCGCAGGAAGGGGTGGCCAGACCTCCTAAAAACATTAGTAAAATAAGCAACGCTTTCCCGCGGACAGGACACTCCGAAAACAAGCAAAAACTCTTACTTGGGCCCATAGATGCCGAGGGCAAGGTTTCTGAATCGGGCGCAGTGCCAACCATGAATTTGTAGGTGCGCCGGGCAATGAGCGGGTTGCCGGGAAAATGGTGTTTCGTGAAATAAATCAGAAGCCGCCAAGCCGTTGAAGAGGCCCGTGGGCTACGGTAGGATACGGTATCGGCACGGTGGCACGGGATAGCGAGCAGGCCCCGGCTACCCCTCCCCCTCCCCACTCTACACTTTCGAAAACCGAGCATGTGTCTTTTGCGGTACTGGACTGTTAGCAGGGGGGGGGGAATGAATTTGGACCTGTTAATAAGAAATTTGGTTCTTATACTGTTCTTCCAGCTGTTGATTGCTAGTAAGTTACAAAAAAATAGTTTAAATATCGTGGAAAATTCGAAAAATGTTGACCTTTTTGGGTAATTTTTCTTACATTTTGCCAAAAAGTGAAAAGTTCCAAAATTTTTTCTATTTTTTGTACACCTTTTACGTCTAAAAAGTGTCTTTTTTTCGACCGATTGAGTAAATTTTTACGTTGCAAAAAAATTTGAAATGAACTTTTTTTATAGCGCAAAAATCGTAGTGTAATTTCGATAAAAACGTCATCCAAAATGATGTATTCACACCCAAAAACGAAAAAAATATATCACAACGCGCATGGGAAAAGCGGTAATCTTTGGTGGGTCGAAGCGGAATGAATGACTCGATGCGGAAGCTAGGGAAATGCCAGAAAATCACAAAATTATGCAAACGCTTGAAAGCCGAAAGAGATGCGAATCAGGTGGGTCATAGCTGGGTTGACTAAATTGTGATCGTAGCACCATTCGTAAATAGTAATATCTCGGAAATACACAAAACTGGCTAGAGAACATACTGTTTTTCAGGGCAAGTGAAAGTGACTGGGAGAAAGAGTACAAAGTTAGGAGCTTTTGCATTATCGGGGGGGGGGATTTCATATAAACATGGGAGGTCTTGCTAAATTGTTTTTCATTTTCCCTAATCGTAAAAGCGTTAAAAAATTTATTAAAAATAAAATACAAAGATATGGATTTTTAGAGCTAAAAAAATGTCCTATTTGACCAAAATTTCGGGTCCAAAAATTTTTTCAAAGTGTTTAGATAGTTTTCCAGTTGAAATATAGTAAAATATTCCTAAAAACACGATTAAAAAGCGTACGATTGTTTTCCTAGGTATTTCTAAACGCATAGGATAAAGTATTGGGTGAAAAACCAGTTGCAACAAGCTCAGAAATCACGAATTTAAGCGGCACGAATATTCACAATTACAATTTTCAAGCGCGTTTTATCGAAATTTAATGACTTTTAAAGGCACAAAACCGCAATAAAATAAGAGAAAAATATGCGTAGATCAAAAAGTCTAAAGGCGTGTCTCGTAAACTCAATTTAGGCAACGCTACACTCCTTTGCACCCCTGTATCCAGTGCGTTTTTGGTCATCTGACTCGTTCGGTTCAAGGCAGCCACTCGTCGGCCTTCCAGATGATGGCGGTGACGGGGTGTACGACAGCGGAGTGTAGCGTAGTCGTCGGGGCGCTCTCCGGGCCGCAGATGCGTTCGGTGGCGCTGCGGTAGCGCGTGCCGGTGGAGACGAGCACCGCTGGAGGGCGGCCGCCCGGCGGAATCGGACTGTTCTGAGGTGCGCCTCGTAGCCGATCGACCGTCTCGGAGACGCGGTCCCGCATCCACGTCAAGCTGCCCATCGAGTCGCTCTAAACGTTTTTATTCGTTGTTTTTGGGTGATTTTGGGGGTTTCTAAAGGATGGTTGACCTACCGTATGTACAGAGACCCGTCTTCTCGACTCGTCGTTCCATCTACCCGTCTCGATAATCGTCAACGAGGTGAGGGTGCCCTCGTATGGGCGGCACGCGAGCATCGGTTGTAACTAGAAGCCAGATGACGTCAAGTTTCTCAAATTACCGTCAACGCGTTCGCCGCGATGAGCACGCCGGCCGAGGTGCCGATGAACAACGTCGAAGCCGACCCGCGGTCCAGCAGCGCCAACGAGGTCACCACCGAGCTGGAGAGCAGCCCCGGAAAGGTGGCCGAGATCGTCTCCCAGCCGGGCGCCACTTTCCGGATGTTCAGAATCGAGACGACGACGCGACGTGCGACGTCCCAACAGAAAACACGGCAACCTGAAACGAGTTTGAGACGCCGAACTTCAAAATGCCGACGGCGAAAAACCGAATTCTAGCCATAATACCGACAGATTCTGACAGTCAAAATACCGACTGTCGGGATTTTTCCTGTCGGCATTACTTCTTTTTGCACTCGTCATGGCCTTACCGCAAGTACTCGCCGCCCAAACGTTTCGACAGGCGGCGTCGGCTTCGAGGAGGTCAATCGGGCCTTGCGCTTCCGGATGCGACAACGAGCTGGCGAAGCAGAAGCGGTCGTCACTGCCGATGGTGTGCGCCTGGATGACGCCGTCGTCGTGGCCCGTCCAGACTTGTCTGAAAATCGCAATTTTTTCAGGGTCTGGCTCGGACTCTGGCTCTCTCTCTCTCTCTCTCTCACTCGCTCTCTCTCTCGCCTACCTAGCTTCATCAGCATTCAACGCGATCAACCCCTTGATAGCAGTGGCCGGGTGGCGAGCTAGCAGCGATATACTGAAGGCGTAATCCATCCGAATCAGGCACAGCGAGGAGGTGCATGGAAGGCAGAGCAGATCTGATGACAACAGAGCAGGACGGCTAAAAATTTAGGATTTAACCAGGGTTCCTAAAGAATCCCTGCTAGCCTGATCCTCCCCCACTCACCAGACAACTTGTTGGCCATCAACCGGAAGATCCAAATTCGTGGAATGGTTGAGGGAAGCCGAGAAGACGGCCAACGTTCCGCTCCTAGACACGCCCCACATCGTGCCGGTTTCGGCACCTCGGAGCAGCCAGGTGGGGGAGATCGGGACGGTGGTGCGCTACAAATGGTGATACTGGCGGTATAGTTAGCCAGCCTGTTCCTAAAGAATCTCTGCTAGCCTGCCCTTCCCAAAGAATTTCTGCTAGCTGCTTACCCGATGCTCCGTCCATCCAAACTGCGTGCAGGAGAGGCAATGAAGGGTGTTATCGCTGGCCGTCAGCCAAACCTGAAAGAACCATTTTATGAAATTCGTCTGTCGCTCCCTCTCTTTCTCTCTTTCGCTATCTCTCACTTTCACTCTTTCACTCTCTCACTCCCACTCTCCCACCCTCTCTTTCTCTTTCGATCTCTTTCTCACTTTCTCCCTCTCTCGCTCTCTCGCTCTCTCTCTCTCTCTCTCACTCTCTCTGTCGCTCTAGTTTGACCAACCTCAGCATCAAGTTCATCGTCATCCCAATCTTCAGTGGTGACGATTGAGGCGAGGCATGGGGGCGGGGCGTGGAGGGAGGAGAGATTCAGGGTGTCCAGAAGGCGTGGGAACTCAGGAGCGCCGACTAGGGAGACGAGGTGGGAAGATGTTGGGCGCAGGGAGGGTGATGATCTCCAGCAAAGTACCATCGTGTCAAGCATCAGGGAGGGGAGGAGGAGCTCCTGGAATAGTCGGCATTAGGAAAAGAATGCCTAGCAGAGATTCTTTAGGAAAGAGCAGGCTATCAGAGATTCTTGAGGAGCTTACATGAGGCAGCAAAAATGGCCTAGCTCCATCGAGAAGCCGCTCCTTGACGTGATCTTCACCATCAAAAGGCAATCGCAATGATAGCAGCTCGTAGCAGAACATCCCGAACGAGAAGGAGTCGACCTAGAAGCCGTTGATTGAGCATGAGTTTCGTTCAGGCTTAGATATGGCTTAGACTTAGCATATCTCGCACAGGCAGTACCTGCTGCGTGTACTCCTCCTCGCCGTTGAAGCGCACGATCTCGGGCGCCATGAACCCCTCAGTCCCGCCGAACCCCTTGGCGCCGCCGGACGGGAGGATGGAGCGCGAGATGCCGTAGTCGCCGAGTTTCACGAGCACCTGGAATTGGTCGGCATTTCCAAAATGACCTCTGCTAGCCTGCCCTTTCCTAAAGAATCTCTGCTAGTTTACCTCTACTAAATTGGCAAATGGCGGCGGATATCGCCAAGCGAGCACGTTCTCACTTTTCAAGTCCCTGTAGATGATATGCTGTTGGTGGAGGTATTCGAGGGCTTTGGCCACCTAGAATCATCGTGGTTTTCCGTTGGCTCTCTCTCTCTTTCCCTCTCTCCCTCTCTCTCTCTCTCCCTCTCTCTCTCACCTGCGTCAGCGTATCCGTCAACACCTGCAGCCCCAATCTACATCCGCTTTTCCGATAGGAGGACAGAAGCTGGCTGAGCGCCCCTAACGGCGCCAGCTCGACGACCAGCGACAGCGGCGGGAATGAGACGCCAAGGAGGCTCAGCACCGACGGATGGCGCATCCGGACCAGGAGGAACAGCTCTTGTCTAAAAACCGGATCAAAAAATGGTAAAACGATTGACCGGCAAGTACAGTAAGCTCGGCAGGCGTTCTCGCCCTCGTCTCGCTCCCATTTGGCGAGACCGGCCTGGAAAATCATTTCAAGGTGATTTGAGGGTTTGCCAAAAAATCTTCGCTAGCCTGCCCTTTCCTAAGTAATCTTTGCTAGCCTGCCCTTTTCTAAAAAATCTTTGCTAGCCTGCTCTATCCGAAAGAATCTCTGCTAGCCCGCCCTTTCCTTAAAAATCTCTGCTAGCCTGCCTTTCCTAAAGAATCTCTGCTAGCTCACCCTATACGCATTCACTGCGCTCCCGCGAGCTTGCCCTGGATCCACCGGCTCCAACATCTTCACAGCCGCATCCACGAGCTCACCACTCTGAAAGAAGCCCAAATACAAACGTACAGTAACCTCACCTTTGCTCGAATCGTCGACCTGAAGACAAAGCCAAAAGCTCCGCGTCCAAGCAGTCGACTTTGTTTCGTTGTATCCGATGGTATCAGGAGACATCCCTGAAAAAATGTGGTGTCTCAATCGCCTCCTTATACCTCGAGATCGGCAAACTGTAGGTCCGGGGCGAGAACTCGAACGGCTACGGGCCCATGCTCTGGGCACTCGACGCTTCCGCCCTTCCGGGTGGCTACTATGCACTCCTCGATCGTGTACGCGTACCGCTTCCGGCCCAGTCTCATGTCGTTCAGGGTACGTGAGCGTAGGCTAGAAAAGCAGAGATTCTATAGGAAGGGGCAGGCTAGCAGAGATTCTTTAGGAAAGGCAGGCTAGTATAGATTCTTTGGGAAAGACCAGGCTAGCAGAGATTCCTTACCCGATCGAGCTCTTCCTGCTCCCCCCGTCCATAGGAGTCCCGGGTAGCGCCGAGTCGTCGTGGCTCCCCTCCGTCATCTGTATCTCCTCGGAGGCGCACCGATGGCACGGGATCAGCCGCTGCACTAATAGATCTCCCTCCGACGAGTGGACGAAGCGAGTGCCGAGGGATGGATACCTGAACGGAAAGGTTTAGCCCGTATGCGTGGATCCTCAGCTTCCCAGTGCCTTTAACAGTTGTAACCTACCAATCTTCTAGCAGGGTATCTACCAGATCGGTGACGAGTGCAAGGAGGGAAGCCGCAGCCGCTTCATCCACGCCCATTTCGACGCGATTCGAGCCATCCAACACGACCGTCATGCTGAAGAGTAGAGGTGTGATTTTAAAAAGATAGCATAGATTCTTTAGGAAAGCGCAGGATGGTAGAGATTTTTAGGAGAATTGTACCCACCTCAATGACGGGATCAGCACCTCCACAATCGGCCTGGTATCCGAGGCTGATGCTCTCCAGTGCCCCTCATGCTTCAGCGTCCATTCCGACTGTCCGTAGTGCAGATCCCGTACTTCCGCCAACGGCAAGAATTGTTTCAGGATCAAAAGCGAGTGTCCCTTGACAACGAGCTCGAGCCCCGACTCCCACACCATCCACTCTGGCACGACACGACCTGAAAAAATCAGGTAGTCTCAGCTAGCCTAAGCATCTAAGCCTAAGCTAAGCCTAAGTTAAGCCTAAGCCTGAGCCAAGCCTAAGCCTAGGCCTAAACTTAAGCCTAAGATAAGCCTAAGCCGAGCTTAAACCTACGCAAATTATCCCACCTTTCAGCGCATTCCTCAGCGCCGAAATCGCGCCCGGCTCCTCGCAGGCAAAAATCTGGGACACAGCCCTTGAAACCGACGCATCACCCATCATCCTGAATTCCAGAATGGTCTCTGCTAGCCTGCCCCCCACCTAGTGATAAGCCGGGACCAGAACCCGGCCGGCATGTAGGCCAACGAGAAGAGTCGGCGGTAGCGGACGGCGCGTTGGTAGGTGAAGTGGATGACGGGGGCGGTTGCCTGAAGAGTGGATTTTTAAAGGGGCTCAGAAGTCAAAATTCGTGCGTGGGGGGGGGGGGGGGGCCGGCGGGAAACGGGGGGGGGCCCCGCCCGGGAGGGGGAAAAGGTTTTTGGATGTGGGAAAAAGGAAAGATGGAGGGGAAAGGAAACCCTTTTTTTTGGGGGGAGGAGGTGTTTGGGGGGGGGGGGCGGTTGCTTGTCGGTTTGAAGTGGGCCCCCCCCTTCCCGTTGGGGTTTTTTTTTGTTTTTTTTTAAAAAAAAAAATGGGTGGGAAAAAATAATTTGGGGGAGATTAAAAAATTTTATAATTTTTTTTTAAATTTTTTTTTCCTTTCAAAAAAGGGGGGAAAGTTCGGGGGGGGGGGGCGGGCGGCCGCAGCTGGCTATTTGCCAGGAATCACAGCAGGGGGCCGTGGACCAGATTTCGGAGCCCCTTTAAGAAACCCCTGCTAGCTTGCCCTTTCCTAAAGAATCTCTGCTAGCCTGCCCTTTTCTAAAAATCTCACTCACCGCCGTCGGGCTCTCCGCCGTCAGCTCCATCTGCGAGTCCGCAGCCCTAATGGGGTAGTAAAGACAAAAATCCACGAAATACCTCGCTAGCGCTGAGTGCTGAGGGCTCAAATCCGGACCGGTTGCTCCGGTCCGGATCCGCCAGACGCATCCTCGGACCAAAACCCGGACGGCTCGGCTCGGAAACTCGGAGCGGAGCACGTACTCGTCGGGGAGGAGGCAGGGGACGAGGAGGAGAGGGGCGGAACATACGAGGGCTACCTGGAAGAGGTTGAGGAGAGGGAGAGGGAGAGAGAGAGAAAGAGAGAGTGAGAGAGAGAGGGTGAGAGAAACCGTGCCTACCTCAAACTTCTGCAGCACGTTCAGCAGAAAAGAGCGATGCATCGGCTTGTCGAGTTGAAAGGTTCTAAACTCCAACTCAGAAGGGTCGCTGCGCCCTTACTTGAAGACGACGCCGAGCTGTTCGGGCAGCAGGATCGCTGCCGGGCCGGAAGGAGGCCGGACGCGTACACAGGCCGAAATTGCGTCCAGAAGGTAGAGGGGATCGGTACAGTAGGTCGATCTGGAAGTTTGGAAGCTAGGAGAATGAAAGGGCAGGCAAGCAAAGATTCTTTAGGAAAGGGCAAGCTAGCAGAGATTCTTTAGAGACGGGCAGGCTAGCAGAGAGTCTTTAGGAACCCAACCTCAAGCTCGCATCTTCGTAGTGCACGAGTTCACCGGCGTCGTGTAAAAACGAAACAGCCGCTTGGAAATCGTGCTGATGCCGAAAAAAGGCAGCATTTGAAGAAGTTGCTGCTCTCATCCGTTCCTCCACCCTCCCCCTCAGCTCGTCGCCTCCCATTAGTGCGTGTACGGCCAATTCTCCATCCCGGCGCTCCGCATTCATTTGACGAAGGATCTGAAATGATTTGATTTCTATGAGAGAGAGAGAGAGAGAGAGAGAGAGAGAGAGAGAGAGTCCACTACCTTGATCATCAACACATGCGCCGACGGGACCGGCGAGTCCAGCAGCCGCTCCCGGCCCATTTTGGCTTCCCAGGCGGCTCTTAGAATCGATTGAGCAACAGTTTTCACTGCGGCCTTCAGCTTGGCGGAGAGGAGCAGGACGTCGATCACTCTTAACATAGGAATGAGCAAGAGAATAAGCTCGGCGAAGCCTAAGCCTAAACCTGAGCATAAAGCCAAAGCCTAAGCATAAGGCTGACCTAAGCCTAAGCCAAACCCAAGTCTAAGCTGAATCCTAAGCCCCAGCCTAAGCCTAAGCCTAAGATTGCGCAGAAAACCCACTTTGGAAGCCCCTTCTTATCAGAATCGGCGACCAGCCACCGATGCCGACATCGCTGTTCCATTTTCTCTAAGAATCCCGGCGAGAAGCGATCCTCATTTTGCGTGACGTGGTCGCGATGGGTGCCGACGACGACTACGCAAGCGTTTGGAGCCCGGGCCTAGAAAGACGTAGTTTTTCGATCCGCAAAGATTTGTGCTAGTCAGCCCTTTCCTAAAGAATTTCTGCTAGCTGCCCGACAAACCTGAATCCCGATCAGCAGCTTCTCCGCCTGCTCCAACCCTTCCTCTCCATCGGTGATCCTGAAGACGAGGACGTAGACGGCCCGGCGTATCATGGCGTATGGCTGGATTGCTTGGAGCTCACGCTAAAAACAGAGAGTAAGACAGAGAGAGAGAGAGAGAGAGAGAGAGAGAGAGAGAGAGAGAAAGACTACCTTATCACACAAAAAATCGACAGCATGGAAGGTAACTGGAGCCAGCTGGGGGTCGCCTTTCGCTTTCCGGGGCTCGATTTTGAATTCGGCAATTTTTACCGTATCCCCGATGTAGGGGGATCGCTTGGAGACGCCTTCGGACTGAAAAGAAATTTTTGGCTGCCAAGAAATCTCTGCTATCCTGCCCTTTCCTAAGGAATTTCTGCTAGCCTGCTTTTTCCTAAGGAATTTCTGCTAGCCTGCCCGCTACTAAAGGATCATCGCTAGCCAGCTCCTAAAAAGCCCGGAAAGCCATACCCTGACAGCCTCCCAAAGTGTTGTACGGCCCGACCCGGGCGAGCCGACGAAGAGCAATCGCATATGCCGATAAGCCTTGGCCCTAAAAACATATTAAAATGACTAAAATTGAAAAAGAAAAATAAAAGCTATTTAAAAATTCATTGAATTTTATCGTTAAGAAAAGACGAAGTTAATTTAACACAAGACCCACTGCTCCAAGATGGACTTCAAGAACGCCACGAGCTGCACGGTCTTGCACTGCTCGGCGTTGACCATCGAGTTTAGCGGCTCCTGAATGTTGCTCTGCCTTCAGCTTAAATTTTAGGACCTACCTTCAATTTGCAGCCCTTCAGGGATAGGGACCATAACCGGGAGAGGAGCCCGACTTCAGCAGGGAGGGTCTCGAGAGGAATGTTGCCTAAAATTGCGTGATTTCTCAAGAGTCTCTGCTAGCCTGCCCTTTCCTATAGAATCTCTGCTAGCCTGCCCTTTCCTAAAGAATCTCTGCTAGCCTGCCCTTTCCTAAAGAATCTCTGCTAGCCTGCCCTTTCCTAAAGAATCTCTGCTAGCCTGCCCTTTCCCAAAGAATCCACACCAATCCGCCTACCATTCAAATTCAACACCGCCAGAGTAGCGATATGTCCGATATGAGAGGGCAGAGACGTCAGTCGATTGTCCGAAACATCCAGAACTGATAGCGCGGGTAGCAGGGGCCGATTCCCGTTCCACAACGGCAATGACGTCAGCTCGTTGCCCGCCACTAAATTTTTTAAAGGACCATCGAAGGCAAGAGTCAAGATTTACCGTTCAGCGTCTTGCACCACTGCAACGAGTCGTGGCGTTTATGCGCGCAGGCGTCTTCCTCCCAGTTTCTGCCGGCATGGTTTCGGCTTACTGTAGATTCTCCGCCGCGGGACACCGAGAGGGATCGTTGCGATCGGACGGCAGATTTGGAGCGGGATCCTGGAAGGGCGTAGTGAAATCGTGTGGGGGTCTGGATTATCTCTCTCTCTCTCTTTCTCTCTCTCTCTCTCTCTCTCTCTCTCTCTCCCTCTCTCAACCCACTTGGATCCCTCTTAGTCGGACTCCTCCGTCTCCCTGGCAGCTGTGGATATCGCATATCTGGAGCAAGGGGCGGTGCTTGGCAAGCCGCCAAATGTGGAGCCCCCTCCGAGAAGAGCTCCTTTAACCTGAAATCGGGTTGGCGTAACCGATTACGACGTTAAATTACCGATTATGGGATACATCGAGAGTGCGTAGGTGGGCCGGGACGCACTGGATCGGGGCGAGCTGGTGGAGCAGGTTGAAGGAGAGGTTCAGGGTGAGAAGCCGCGGGCACACGCAGGCCAGGCAGGAGGGGAACACGGAGAGCTGGAAGGGAAGGTTCAGGGATTCCCTAGGAGTCTCTGCTAGCTTGCCCTTTCCTCAAGAAACTCTGCTAGTCTACCCTTAAAACAAACCTTGTTCGCTTGCAAATTCAGCGTGGTCAACGTGCCGGAGGAGGACAGCGGCACATCAGAAGCCTCTTCCTCCACCTTACACAGCGGAATCTCGCCCATCCAAATATTCTCCCTCCTCAGCTCCATCCTCTCGCCCTGGGCCACGATCGTATCCTCGGATTCTTGGGAGACGAGGCCGTCGGGGGCTTGACCTAGAATCCGATGATTTGATAGTTTCCTAAAGAATCTCTGCTAGCCTGCCCTTTCCTAAAGAGTCTCTGCTAGCCTGCCCTTGCACTCACCGACGTTGGCCGTCCTCGAGAGCCGGGCACGATTTTGAAGTGACGGCAGGGCGGAGAGGGAATTGTGGGCGGCGTTGAGTTCCTGAAATTTCGTTTGAGGTAGGCTTTCGTTTTGATGGTAGGCAGCAGAGGTTCTTTAGGAAAGGGCAAGCTAGCAGAGTTTTCTTAGGCCTGCAACGTACCTTTAACGCTGGACACAACCAAATCGACTCCGGCAGGTGGGTGATTTTGTTGTGCGAAATGTCCAGGTTGGCCAGCGAAGGCAACGTCGATAGGAGCTGCGCGGACAGGGCCTCCAGCTTGTTGTGCGATAGATTCAGCGTCTCGACGGATTGGCAGGAGACAGCGTACGAGGGGGGCTCGATCTACAAAAATGGTTGAAACTAAGCTCGCCAGAGCCAGCCTAAGCCTCAGGCTAAGCCAAGCCTAAACCTCAGCCTGAGCCTAACCTAGACCTGGATTTTAAAGGGATGGTGACACCAAAAGTCTCACCACACTAATCTGATTCTGGGCCAAATTCAACAGGCGCAGTGATGGCATTTGGAGCAGGACAGAGGGGAATACGGTGAGCCGGTTGCAGGAGAGGTCGACGCGGGTGATAGCGGCCAGGGCAAGCCTGAAGATGAGCCATTAATGCGTGCGCCAAAAGTATAGAATTTTCGATACTCTTGCGAAAATCTGGTATTACGGTAGCTCAAAAATTCCGAGCTTCAGTACTGGAACTTACAAATTACGCGTTTTTCTAGTAACTTTCAGATCCAGCTTGTCAAAAATTAAGCTAAGTCGTGTTTTAGAACGCTTTAAAAGAACGTAGAAGTCAAATCCATAGCTACCTGGTCGTTTTTAGCCTCGGATTGACGTGGAGGGCGGCGGCTACGAACCAGTCCGGAAGTACGGACGTCAGTGAAGCCGAAGCCCAAGCCAGTGAAGCCCCTCGTGAGGGACAGAGAGAGGATGGGAGCAGGGATTCTCCAACTCGCACCTGAAATTTTGTTATAGAGGGAGAGAGAGAGTGAGAGAGAGAAAGAGAGAGAGAGAGAGAGAGAGAGGGGATTACCTGTCCAACGTCAACATTTCGCTTGTTAACTTTGTACTCTGCGTCCGGGTGCGCCAATTTGCACAGCAGCACGCGCACAATTTTCTCGTTGTTGCCCTAAAAAATGAAGTACTTAAGAAACAGCGTGTTTTCCGATCATTCTCCCTTTAAACCGGAGCCAAGAGGTGGAGGTAAGCTTGACCCTAAGCCCAGCCTAGGCCTAAGCCCAACCTAAGCCCAGACGTAAGCCTAATCATGAGCCTGACCCTCACCTGAGAAGCAATGGACAGCGCTCGATTGTCGGTGTCGATCGCGCCATTCTGGAGCAACAGCTGAACGACGTGAAGACCGCCGGAGCGCGCCGCTTCTGCCAGAGAACCGGATCCAACACATCGTGCTGATTCCTGCAAAAATATGGATTGACCGGCCCTTTAACATTCGAAAACCGCTAAGCTATCAAAATGGAGCAAAAATTGGCAGATTTTCATGGCGTAATCGAATCCAAAACCCTCACCAAGCTCTGGTCGCTGTCCTCGAGCACGCCGAGCGGCAGGTTGACATCGGCGCCGTGCTGGAGCAGTAATCTAGAGAAAAATCGTGCCTGTGGCGGCTAGCAGAGTTTTTGACGAATTCTTCAGTTCAGGGATCACGGTAGCCATGATGATTTGGGAATTGGAAAACTGTGGACTTGGCTTCCAATGACCTGAAAACCCGAGCTAGCTAGCAGAGACCATTTGGGAATCGAAAAGCGGTTTTGGCTCTCTGGCCTCTTTACCGCTCGGGCAGGCTAGCAGCGACCATTTTCGCATCCGAAAAACCAATATTTTTGGCTTCCTAGTCCCTTTAAGACCTGGGCAGGCTAGCAGAGATATTTACGTATTGCAATTTTTTGCGCTTCCTAGCCCCTTAGGACCTCGGCAGGCTAGCAGAGACCATTTACGTATCGAAAACCAAGTTTTTAGGCTTGCTAGTCCCTTTAAGACCCGGGCAGGCTAGCAGAAGACATTTGAGAGCCGAAAGAGCTTTGGATTTTGACTTCAAGACCCCTTTAAAGTGTCAGAATTTACCTCGTATTCCTAAACCGGGTCCATTCTTTCATCTAGCGCAGAAAATACGATAATACAAAAACCGGAGCTTGGCGGAAAAGTCTCAAAAATCAGTAGAGGTGCGTGAAATATGCCGTTTTTTTTCAGCGTGGCTTCGGGATCAATTTCCGGGGGCTGGGTGTGCATCGGTTGCATGTGCCAATTCACAGCCTCACCCCCCCACCCGCTTTTTTGTCATGAATCCCCAATAAAACGTCCGGTTCCCCACGCACCGCACCCACTACACCTCGATTCAATAGTCCGGGCTTAGGCTAGGCTTGGCTTAGGCTTGGAGCTTGGCTTAGGCCAGGCTTAGGCTTAGGCTTAGGCTTAGGCTTAGGCTTAGGCTTAGGCTTAGGCCTATGCTTAGGCTTAGGCTAAGGCTTAGGCTTAGGCTTAGGCTTAGGCTTAGGCCTAGGCTTAGGCTTAGGCTTAGGCTTAGGCTTAGGCTTGGCTTAGGCGAGGCTTACGTTTGGCTTAGGCTTAGGCTTAGGCTTAGGCTTGGCTTAGGCTTGGCTTGAGCTTGGCTTAGGCGAGGCTTACGTTTGGCTTAGGCTTAGGCTTAGGCTTAGGCTTGGCTTAGGCTTAGGCTTAGGCTTAGGCTTAGGCTTAGGCTTCAGCTTAGGCTTAGGCTTAGGCTTAGGCTTAGGCTAGGCTTAGGCTTGGCTTAGGCTTAGGCTTAGGCTTAGGCTTGGCTTAGGCTAGGCTTAGCGTTATCCAGGGTTGAGCTTCGCGGCTTTTCAACCCTGGCCCATCCAGGACCTGGAAAGTCCTTAATTTGCATGATCTCCTGAATTCTAGAGAAAAGTGAAAGGCCCTGCCCTTTATATAGGCCTCCTACTCCGGACAAACAAACAGGGTTTACAAAAACCTATTTTTAATAGGAAGCCCTTTAAAGTGTGACCAAACCTATTGTCGTTCCCTTCCAATCCCGAGGCTGTGGGGGATAAACGGTCTTTGGCTTCGGCTTAGGCTTAGGCTTTGCTTAGGCTAGACTTAGCATTATCATTAGGCTTAGGTTTAGGCTTAGGCATAGGCATAAGCTTGGCTTCGGCTTAGGCTTAGGCTTAAGCTTAGGCTTAGGCTTCCAAAAAAGTTGCAATAGAGTTTCAATTGCAACTCCTTGTCTTCCAGACACCTCAAAGTGTCTCTGCTAGCTTGCCCAAGCTGACAAAATCCTTCGCTAGGGTCTTGAAGACACCGTCAACGTTTTGCAACAAACTTACTGTAACAATCCGATGTTCTGATTGAAAGCGGCCATCATCAAGGGAGTCCGGCCTCGAATACAGTAGACGTCTACCTGAAATTGGTAAAATACTGGAAATTTATGGTTGTGCTTTTTTGGCTACAGAATCTCTGCTAGCCTGCCCTATCCTAAACAACCTCTGCTAGCCTACCCTTTCACAAAGGATCTCTACTAGCCTTCCGCAGCCACAGTACCTGAAACGGGCACCCATCACTGCCATCCGAAAATTGAACTCTGTAGTCGAGCAGGCATTCGGTCATGGCAAGATGGCCATCAGCCACCGCTGTATATAGAGCAGTTCTGCACTGTCCGTCCATGGCATTTGCATCAACGGGAAAGCTGAAAATGGCAATTTTGACTACATGGTCAGTTTGGTCAAGTCGTTAAGGGCCTTGCTTTTCGTCCACAAGAGCCTGGTTCGGCTCCTGCAAGGCGAGTCGGGCTTCCAGGTAAAGAAAAACATACCTGTAGCTCTGTCCCTGGCTGTTTTCGACAATCTTCCTGTATTCGGTTGGAATCGGGAAGTCGAGCAGTCTGAAATGTTATTTTAAGGGTTTTCCAAGTCAATTTAGGGTAAAACACGATGGTTTGTTGCTGTCACACTCCCTTTAAAGCCAAAGCCTAAGTCTCAACCTAAGCCTTAGCATAACCTTAGCTTGAGCCCAACCAAAGTTTAAGCCTAAGCCTAAGCCGAAATCTAAGTCTGAGCTTAAGTCGAGGTCCAAGCCTAAGCCCAAGCCTCAGCCTCAGCCTAGATCTAAGCTGAAGCCTCATTCTAAGCTAAGCCTAAGCCTAAGCCAAAGCCAAGCCCATAGCATGCAAGATTTGCATCCGGAAATCGGGCAGACGAGTGCAAAATCCCACAAAATTCATTTCTACCCAATCACCAAGTCTCAACGATGGCCACCTCCGAGCCGAAGCCCGCCGGCTCGCCCGCCAAGGTCGATGCAAATAATAATGGTTGGTTTTTAGGTTTTTAGGTACTTTTGCTTAGGCTTAAGCTTCTAGGTTTAAGCTTAGGCTTAGGCTTCCGTGACTGTCACCATCCCTTTAACCCCACCCCTCCAGCAACTGCCCCACCCGCCGCCCCTTCGGAAAGCCAGGCGACCGTCGTCGCGCTGGCCAACAAGTACCGCGCGGAGTTCGAGGAGACGTTCGAGGGCCTCCGACAGCGAGCCGTCAAGCTCCAGAGCGACGCCCCGCAGTTCATCAACGAGACCCAGGCCAGCGTCGAGCCGTACAAGCAGGAGTTCATCACCACTGTGCAGGCCACTGGTGGGCGGCTAGCAGAGATTCTTTAGGAAACGGCAGGCTGGCAGTGACCATTTGAGATCCTCACTCATTCAGGTGACGTCACCACGCCCCCCATCGTCGTCCTCGGCACCCTGGCCTGGGCTTCAGTTCTGGTGCTCGCCTCCACGATTTCCATGCATCTCTCCGCCCTCCTCCTTGCCCCCATTCTCTCGCTGGCCATCGGCACGTGCGGGGCGCTGGTGTTGGCCCTAGGCGTCATCCCCGTCTACACCTACTGGGCCATCAACAAGGTCAGCAGGCGAGCTAGCAGAGATTCTTTAAGAAAATGCAGGCCAGCAAGCAGTGATTCTTTAGGAAATCGAGGCCAAGTCGGCCGACGCCAAGATCCGTTTCCAACTGCTCGCCGTCGCCCTGGTCGAGGGCTGCCTGGCCGGCCATATTCTACAGTATTCGGTGAGGTGTACTGTAGAAGTTACCGTGCTTTTGAACATCTACAGTATCTCTCTGGTGCTCCACTGGGTGCTCTCCTTCTCGGCGTCGCCGCCGGCGCCTACCCGTTTGCCGCTGAGAAGTTTGGCGGGAATCGCCAGGTATGTTTTGGGTGTGAGAGAAAGGGAGAGAGAGAGATAGCGAGAGAGAGAGAGAGAGAGGAAGAGAAAGAGCGAGAGACTGAGAAAGACATTCAGATGCTCCTCGGGGCCTCAGTTGGCGCTTCGGCCGGTGTGACGATGGTGCTGGGCCTGCTCACCGGCTACCTGACGATGCCGTACCTGCTGCTGTCGCTGCTGTACGCCGCCGCGACGGCCGTCTGCCTCCAGTACATGTACAAGAACGTCATAAATGACTCGGTGAGGGAGCGTGAGAGAGAGAGAGAGAGAGAGGGAGGGGGAGAGAGTGAATGACTGTACAGCTTGAACTTGCGCAAGTTTCCGATACGGTTCAACTCAGCACCTAGACGCCGACGTACGCGTACCAGCTGTGGCTGCTCGTCTCCTTCCGCGCCTGCCATATGCTGTGCCATCTACTGTGTGGGATGGGCCCCGAGGCGTATGCAAAGTACAAGAGCGGCTAGACGACAAGGAGGTGAGCTGGCAGATTTACTTTAGGAAGGGCAGGCTAGCAGAGATTCTTTAGGAAAGGCAGGCTAGCAAATATTTTTGAGAAACCGTCATCTAATTATTTTCCGTTTTTTTCAGTCCTTCATCGACCTGCTCGACGACGTATTCCCCACCCTACCGACTTCCTACGAGCGTCCCCTCCTGCCTTTCGAGCTCCGTTTTGGCGCCTCGATTCGTCAGCTTCTTCAATGAAACATCCCCCAAGCTGCCCGGCCCCCCAAATGTTCATCTACTGTTTTTGTACCCTGCCCTTCTCGCTTTCCCCTCCCCATGGTGTTTTCTGGTCGAATAAAGGGCTCAAAAAGTGGAATTCGCGCAAAAAAAACATTTTTAAAGGGAAGGGGACAGCAACAAAATCATCTGCAAAAACACCCACGTTTTGGCCACGTTCACGTCGCCGGTGTGGGCGGCCCAGTGCAGCAGTGTGCTCCCGTCGGCGTTCACCTGGCCGGCGAGATGGGGGTAGCTCTGGAAAAAGACGTGGTTTTGGCGGTACTGGGCTGTTAGCGGGGGGCCCTCGCGTCTATCTTCACTTCAATGGACCTTAAAGGGGCTGAGAAAAAAAAATCAGGGGTTTTTGATGATGCATTAATGGCTGACCTCCAGGATCAGCCGCAACGCCTCGCAGCTCCGCCCGGCGATTGCGGCGTGGGCTACCGTATCCCGGGTGACCGGGTGTACGGTAGTGTGACGTAGGCGCCACTCGAGAAGACGCTCCACGACGGCGTGACGTCCATTCTGGCAGGCACTGGAAATGAGGAATTTGGCGATCAGCATAGGGGCAGCCAGCAGAGATTCTTTAGGAAAGGGCAGGCTAGCAGAGAACACTGCGAATTGCGTTACGGGACTCACACAAAAAGCGTCGGTTGCGCCTCGGCTTCTCGCCCGTTGAACAGCGTATCAAGGTGCCGAGACGGGCAGTTTGAGACGACGGAGGCCACCTGGAAACTTCAACGTGATCGAGGGGTTCAGAGCTTGAACGGCTTGGGAAGAGCAGGCTAGCAGAGATCCTTCAGGAAAGGTACCTTATCCACGTCGCCATCGATGCAGGCGCGGACAAGCTGCTCCCGGTCGACGTTCAGCTTCTCGTTTTCGGATTCTGAAAGATAAGCTTAGGCTTAGGCTTAGGCTCAGACTAGGCTTTGCTTAGGAACAGGTTTAGGCTTAGGCTTAGGCTTACGTATCGACTCGATGAGCAGCTGCGTCAACCGGTCGTGGCCAGCCATTTGGGCAGACTCGAGTGCACAGTGCCCGGAAGCATCGCGAATCGACGGATCGGCGCCGGCGGCAAGGAGAAGCCGTGCGCATTCGACCTGCAAATCAATTTTTCGCAAAGAATCTCTGCAAGCCCGCCCTTTCATAAAGAATCTCTGCTAGCCTGCCTACCTGCGCCGCTTCGGTAGCCAGATGCAAGGCCGTTTTTCCGCCACCACCCTGCACGTCGAGGGTGTCTAAACATAAATTACATTGAATTAGAACATTTTAAAGGGCCTTGCAAGGCAAATTCATCAAAATTTTGCCTTCCATGGCCCTTTAAAGGTCTTCTAAAGGCAACAAACCTGGTTGTGTCCCGATCAGCTCTTCAAGGGCCTTCGGTCTTCCGTTGTGTGCGGCGAGCATCAATAGATTTCTGCCGTAGCGGTCAACTTTCCGGGTGGACCACGGGTTCTCCTTGACCAAGTCGCCGAGGAGTTCGGTATTCTCGAAGAAGACGGCCTTAAAAAATAATGCAAATTTCGTAATTTCACGATTAGCGGATTTTTCCTAAAGAATCTCTGCTAGCCTGCCCTTTCCTAAAGAATCTCTGCTAGCCTACCCTTGCTAAGGAATTTCTGCTAGCCGCCCACCTGCCGTATCATTTGCATCGTCTCGGTGTCGTCCACCTCGGCCCCAGGCGGGAGCTCCATTTTTGGCGAATTTACGTGCAAAATTTAGTCCTTTTACTTCGTTCTGCTTCGGAGCATTGCGTACTGAAAAAAAAACAGACAAAATTTCCACACATTTTTCACGATTCCAGCCTTTAAGAGTATACAAAAGTATAACAAAAATTATGGCTTCAAAAAAGAGGGGTGCCAAAAAGCTTTCTAATGTATTTTAAAGGAAAAATAGTTAATGAGATTAAATTTAATGAGATCCGGTGGCATTTATCGGGGTATTGGCTGGGGTACACGCGATCAAATCGGCTCCGCCGGGCTACGAACTACAACCCGGGCGTAGCAGGGGAAGGGGCGTGGCCTGACTTCCGCCTGGCTGGCCATGCCCCAAATTTGGACAGCTGCCAATAATTTTGAGGCCAACTGGAGGCAAATTAATGGCATCCGGGGGAGCCGAGGAAAATTCGGGCCGGGATCGCTCGAAAATCTAGAAAAAAAAAAATTAAAAACAGGGCGAGCAGGCTGGCAGAGATTCTTTAGGAAAGGGTAAGCTAGCCGAGATTCTTGAGGAAAGGGCAGGCTAGCAGAGTTTATTTGGGAAGGGCAGGCTAGCACAGAGACTTGAGGCAGACTGGTGATGCAGCGTAGGCGAAGAAGGCCTCAAATTGCCTTGGCTAGCCTGTCCCATTCCCAAATGATCTCTGCTAGCTTGCCCCCATTTCAGATGACGTTTTCCAGCTCCCCGCGCTTCATTCCCAAATCTTCCATGCTTGCCTGCCCATGACTTCCGAAATGGTCTCTGCTTGCCTGTGCTTCCAAAAGAATCACTGCTAGCCGGCCCTGCCTAAAGGAATGTTTCACGTTACGCTAAGTGATCTCTGCTAGCTGCCCCCGTAGTTGCCTCAAGAATCTCTGCTAGCTTGCCAACAAATTCAATTTCCAGTCCCTTTAATCTCTGAAATCTGCTCAAGCTATCCATCGAGATGGCTATTGTAAACAGAGGCTTTATCTCGGCCCGAGGATCTTCCCCCTGGGGTATCCCCCTCCCGGGGCTGTCCTCGTTTGGAGTGCATATGCAAATTCACAACACTTATCTTCATCCAGGCTCCGCTTCACTCTCTCTCTCTCTTTCTCTCTTGCTTTCTCCTATCTCTCTCTCTCTCTCTCTCTCTCATCCGTCTCTCTCTAACTTCATGCCCTCAGGACACGCAACGTCCCATTGTCTTCGCTACGGTCTTCCGGGCGCACAAATTAGGCGGCTCAAATTCGGCGCCTCCCCCAAGCTAGCCTGTCATGTTTATTTTAGTAGCATTAGTTTACGAAGGTCCGATCTTGCGCCCGATTTTTCCCTTTTTTCTAGGAATTTTTTGAGTTTTGCGACGGAATGCAAAGTATCTATCCGGAAAGGGCAGGCTAGCTGAGATTTTTTGGGAAAGGGCAGGCTAGCAGAGGTCGTTGAGGAATAGCATCTTAGATAATTTACACGCTACTATAGACATTTTCTGCAACTTTTGCAGACAAATTTCTCCTCCCTCTTTACTTGTCATTCACTCAATCAATCACCCTTCCATCGCAAGGCCCGAAAAAACGGACGTTGAAGCGCGATTTTTGGCACTAAGCTGGCGGCTGCGGGTTTGGTCGAGGTTCCAAAGTCGACATGTGGCGGTCCTATGCCCGCTCGCTCTAGCGATCCATCGCCCTGAAAACAAAAGATCAACAGGCCCCATTTCGGCCACGGACACCGCGATTTATAGCCCCTGGCTACGGCTAGCTAGTTCTTTTTTGTGGGGTTCATTCGATCCGGGTGGGCCGGCCGACTACAGCAAGTTCCTAAGCAATCTCTGCTAGCCTGCCCTTTCCTAAAGAATCTCTGCTAGCCTGCCTTTTCCTAAAGAATCTCAGCTCGCCTGCCTTTTCCTAAAGAATTTCAGCTCGCCTGCCAATCTATCCAATTTCACGTGTGCGACCTTTCAGCCGGTGGTTGCGGGCGGTTTCCGCGCGTGTTCGGGTGTAAACAGGGGAATATCTCCCTGCCTCTGCCCTTTAGCCATTAGGCCGCCCACTTGACGCGCAGTAATATGCCCTCGGGGCACGAAATGTGCGCAAGGTTGTGTACCCCCGGGAGGAGTTACGCTGCGGTTTTTAGGCAGTTTGGCCGCTCGTTAAATCGAATACCGGAATTATTAGCGCGTTTCTCTCTGTCTCTCCCTCTCTCTCTCTCCCTCTCTCTCTCTCTCTCTCTCTCTCTTACTCTCTCTATCAGATGGTACTCCCGATCGGTCCAACAATCCCTTGCCGAACCCCACAATCGTCCGGCTTCGTTTCGGACTACAGCATGGTGAGTTTCCCGGATTTTAAAGGGACCAGGAAGCCACCTTAGACCGGCTCCAACACCTCACCCGTGGTCCCGAGATGCACGCCACTTTCCCAGCGACGACATCCGGATGAGGGGATGAGTATTAGTGTCGAGATGAGCGCACTGCAGGCCCAGCAATGGAATATGGTGGGCAGGCTAGCAGAGATAGCAGAGATTCTTTAGGAAAGGGCAGGCTAGCAGAGATTCTTTAGGAAAGGGCAGGCTAGCAGAGATTCTTTAGGAAAGGGCAGGCTAGCAGAGATTCTTTAGGAAAGGGCAGGCTAGCAGAGATTCTTTAGGAATCAAATTACGACATTTTCAGATCCGCCACTCCCTTTGGATGCTATCAGCAATGGCAATCTCCGGCGCACTAATGACCATGGTAACTTGGCGACTTGAAATTCCTCAAAAACACTTCTAGATCTCCCTCGAATTCTTCTTGTTATCTGAACGAAAGGATCCGATTGAGAAACGCATCCTGGAGCAGTACACGTCACTTTCAGAGGTCAGAATCTCCGCCAGCCTGCGCTTTGCTAACAAAGCTCTGCTAGCCTGCCCGCCGATTTGCCAAATTTAGACGCTGACCGAGCTCTCCTACTGCCTCGACATCTCGGCTTGCCTGGTGTCGTTGGCCGCCTTTTTCTCGGCGTCATTTCAGGTGTTCTTCACGCTGAATCTGATCCAGTCGAATCCGAGTGACCCGGCGGCGTGAGTTTTGTATTCCTAAGAATTCACTGCTAGCCTGCCCTTTCCTAAAGAATCTCTGCTAGCTAGCGTTTTTCAGCGCAATCCGCTTCCTTCAAGGGACCTCCTTCATCCGGTTGGTCGTCTTCGGCTTCTGGTTCACGGCTGTAATATTATTTTTAGGAGGTACGTTGTTGACGCTCTCTCTCTCTCTCTCTCTCTCTCTCTCTCTCTCTCTCTGCTCTCTCTCTCTCTCTCTCTCCACACAATTCCTTTCCAGTCCTCTCCGCCTACGTGGCCATCTCCCCGCTGCGCGGCGCCCCGTCGAAGGGCGTCTCGATGGCGCTGGCCTTATTTGTGCTGCTGATCTCGTGCATTTCCGTTATACGGAGTATCGTGTATTGGATCAGGAATGGGTATTCCGGTTCCGGAAAACTTGGAGATATCGCCAACTATTCAACGCTTGTGTAATTCTACCAGATTCTCTCACATTCTGATTTTCGTGAGCTTTGGAGCCATTCTTTATGCTGTTTTCCTAATCGATTACATCAGGAATTGTCGATACGGGTTTATTCGTGTAGATAAAGGAATAATAAAACTTGTTGTCCAAATTTATTTTCCTGAGGCAAGCATATACACAGTAATTATGACAAATTGAGCAGAAGGAATGGTTCTTTGGCATTATTGGGGGGGGGGGGCAGAATTTTTCTTAGGATCAAATTTTCAAATATAAATATTGGAAATTTTTCTAAATAATTTTGTCTATTCTAACGTAAGAACTTCACAACGTTTTAGGAAAAATTTAATAAATACAGGTTTTCGACCAAATAGTCCGTTTTTGACCAAAATTTCGAATTTTTCAAATTTTTTTTTCAAGGTTTTAGATAGTTTTTCTGGTTAAAACATAGTTTTATTTGACAAAGAACATTATGAAAATGCTTCCTATTATTTTACTAGGCATTTCTCGATTGATCAAATTTTTTCCTCCACTCCCCCGATAATGCAAAAGAACCGAGAGCACAAAACAATCGGCAAAACGCAATTTGCATAGCTTATCGGACGACGCGGATCATGGCTTTCGGGGCGGCTTTCCTCATCAACAAGAACCAGGCGACGGCCGCCACGGCGACGCCACCAATCAGAATATGGGGGACGTGGGCCCGGAAAGCGTGGTGGATCTGAAAAGGACATTCCTAAAGAATCGCTGCAAGCCTGCCTTTCCAAAATAATATCTGCTAGCCTGCCATTTCCTCAAGAATCTCTGCTAGCTTACCCTATCGAAAAACACGATCCGCCGGGTTCCGCAGCTGGCACAGAACCGGTCCAGAGGCCTAAAAACTGTCCGTTTTGAACTTGCTGTTGTGCTACTTGATCCTGGCTGCACAATATCGGCATTTCAGGTTCAGGCGGCAGCCACAGCGCCGGCAAAATGAGTCTTCTTTGGTAACTGAAAGGCAAAATGCTGCTAGTACTCTCTCTCTCTCTCTCTCTCTCTCGCTCTCTCTCTCTCTCTCTTTCTCTCTCGCCCGCTCGCCGAAAACCCCGAAAAACCTACACGGAATGCAATTACAAGCCGGGCAGGGCGGAAGCGACGCCTCCTGGGGTGGTGAAAGCTCTACTGGCGAGACTTGAAGCGGCGGCAGCTTGGAGCCCATTCTTGAGGGGAGGCTTAGGCTTAGGCTTAGGCTTAGGCTTAGGCTTAGGCTTAGGCTTAGACTTAAGCGTAGTCTTAGGCTTAGTCTTAGGCTTAGGCTTAGGCTTGGCTTAGGCTTAGGCTTAGGCTTGGCTTAGGCTTAGGCTTAGGCTTAGGCTTAGGCTTAGGCTTAGGCTTGGCTTAGGCTTAGGCTTAGGCTTAGGCTTAGGCTTAGGCTTAGGCTTAGGCTTAGGCTTAGGCTTAGGCTTATGCTTAGGCTTAGGCTTAGGCTTAGGCTTAGGCTTAGGCTTAGGCTTAGGCTTAGGCTTAGGCTTATGCTTAGGCTTAGGCTTAGGCTTATAGACTTCACTTAGGTTAGGCTTAGGCTTAGGCTTAGGCTTAGGCTTAGGCTTAGGCTTAGGCTTAGGCTTAGGCTTAGTAGACTTCCTTTAGGTTAGGCTTAGGCTTAGGCTTAGGCTTCGCTACGATAGCATACAACGAACGCCCATTTTCATGTAGTATTCGTACACAGGTGTATACTGTAGTTTCCAAACCGATAATATTGATAGATTTCACAATTTATTGCACATTTCAACGACGCCAAAATACGCTGAATCACGCCGGATACACTGACTATTTCGAGCAAGGTTTTTAGAGCAAAAAACTGTGAGTATTTTTTTATGGGGGATTCAATGGGGCTACCGGATCTCGCGAGCATGAAAAAGGCCACAATTTGCATATTTTGAGGAAGAGAAAAATTGAAAAACGAAAAAAACTAAATAAAATAAACACGAAAAAGCTCTGAGCAATGCTGTGGACCAAGATGATTTTTATCGGGTGGTATAAGGCGGACCGGATGCAAATCGGGGACTATTTTTTTGTAAGGCTGATTTGTTGGGTGGAAAAAGGATTTTTGCGATTTTTAGGCTTGTAAAAAGTCTCAAAAAACCAAAAAAGTTATCGCAAAAATCCTCCACAAAAATTGGTTGCTAAAAATGACCGGTATCGTTGCAAAAAGCTACAGTGTTCGACCTCACTACCGTACGCCAGAGTACGCTACAGTACGTTGCAGTACGCGGCAGTACGCTACAGTATGGTGCGGAACGCTACAGTACGCTGCAGTACGGTGCAGTGCGCTACAGTACGTTGCAGTACGCTACTGCAACGCTACAGTACGCTACAGTACGGTGCAGTACGCTGCAATACGTACAAAAATTCACGTGAACAGGGAAAGGACAATAAATATCCTAATTACATATCGGGCGTAAAAATCGCACCAAAAAACACAAAAAAATCGATGGTTTGTGACTGGGTATACGCAGTACACCACAGTACACCAGCGTACACGAACGGAAAAACGCGGAGCAAACGATATAAGCACAGACGAGTATATTTTTAAGAATTGAGCACAGATTCCTGCTTTTTCTCAGGCGGGCTTTAACTGATTAAAAAAGGGGTCGGGAAGCTTTGGAAAAAAATTGTTCCAAAAAACGGGTGAAACCGAAGCCAAGCCTAAGCCTAAGCCTAAGCCTAAGCTTAAGCTCAAACCTAAGCCTGCCGCGCGAAAGCAGCCTGCAACCCAAGCCTAAGCCTAAGCCCAAGTCTAAGCCTAAACCTAAGCCTAAGCCTCGGCCCAAGCCCAAGGCAATACAATTTCCAAAAATTCCAGGCTTCCCGACCCCTTTAGCTAGGTAGAACGGCACTTTAAAGGGGCGTGCAAGGCACTTAAGTGGAGGGGCGGGGCCTAGAATCTCCTAGACAGGATGCCGGATTGGGCGGTGCTCAGATCGAAGGAGGACATCGACGAGGAGAACACCGACGACATCGAGGGGAGCAGCGTGCCCAGGCCGGCCGAGCGGGTGATGCTCAATTGGGAGTGGACCGGGGAGGAGTGGGGCGTCGGGGGGAGCTGGAAAATGATGTTGGAATATGTCTTTGTCTCTCTCTATCTCTCGCTCTCTCTTTCTCTCTCTCTCTCTCTCTCTCTCGATCTCCTGCTCTCTCGCTGTAGATGCTCACCTCGGCTCTGGAGATGACACCGCCGTCTCGCCGGTCACGCAGCACTGTGAGGCCGACGTTGTCAAGCTGTAAAAATCTTCTTAAAGGAACCCCGACAGGACGCCGAACGATGCGCTGTCGACTATAGACCTGTGACAGAGAACCGAAAATGCCGATAATGCAAAATTCATAGGCGATGGTTATGAGGCCCCACCTGGAATCACCAGGAATGGCCGAGCGACTGCTTGATAGTCGAACGAGGGTTCGAACCGCCACGATTTTGTTTTTGCTTTTGCCGGAGATTTTTGTACAAGTCCAGAATGTTACTAGTAATAGCCCGAAATCCCTAATGTTTAGCCATTAAGGCAAAATCGAATGAAAATCATTTCTGCCGGTAGAGCCCTACCCTGACCATCTGCAAATGAAATTCAGAATATCTGACCACCTAACGTCGACAACTGGCAAAAATTTAAAAGTACGTATGATTTGACTTGTACATCTCTGGCCTAAAGCAAAACAAAAAGTAAGCGGATTCGAACCCTCGTTCGACCTATCAAGCGAGTCGCTTACCACTCGGCCATTCCTGGTGATTCCATAGTGATGGGAGAGCCTCATACCTCCTTCTATGCAATTTTTTGCTGTAATCACATTTCCGGAGTGCTGTATCCTGTCCCGGTCTATTAGACTGACAAGCGCATCGTGTCGCAATGGCCGATTACCCGGGGTGCCGCGACGTTTTCCGAAATTCCACCATGTCTCCGTGAGGTCCCTTGTTAGCCCTCCACCTGCCCGCCTTTCCTAAAGAATCTCTGCTAGCCTGCCCTTTCTTAAAGAATCGCTGTTAGCCTCCTCAAGAATCTCCGCTAGCCTTCCCTTCCTCAAAAATCTCTGCTAGCTTGCCTTTTCCTAAAAAACTCTCTGCTAGCCTGCCTTTCCTAAATAATCTCTGCTAGCCGCCCCCTCCCGAAAAACTACAGTAACCCTCACCGCTCGCCACGGCACGACGGCTCGTTGGTGTTCTTGGCCGAGAACAACTGCATAGTTCTGCCACCCCGCTCCGTAGCCGTCAATTGGTGCCTTTTGTACGGTGCCCTTCGACTGCACGTTGTGCTGGCTGGGCGAGATGCCGGCGCCGAGACGTTTTTGCTCCTGAAAAAAAAGAGGATTTGGAGGGGAAGGTTTGTAATTTGTAGTTTAGAGACATGCGTTGGAATTAAGGCATTAACGGAACAGGATAATCTTTGGAATTGTAGTACGGTAGTTTTACTGTAGGCGTTATTTTCAGGCTAAGCATGCGAAGCGAGAGAGAGAGAGAGAGAGAGAAGGAGGAGAGGAGAGAGAGAGAGAGAGAGAGAGATCGAGAGAGAGCTTCGAAGGCTGCAAAGCAACGAATGAAACCAAAAAAAAAACATGCAAGGACTACACAGCACAACACGCAACGTAAGGCCACAAAAATCGCCCAGGCCAACCCACCCCACTGGTGGCAACAACGCTGCTGGCGGCCGGCCGATTCTGGGCGTAGAATGGCTGCTGGGGCAGGCCGCGCCGCTCGCGGAACTTGGCAAAATCGGCCTCCACCTGAGAAAGAGGGAACTACGACCCGGATTAAATGAATTAGGCTAATTTTTGTGGATTTTAAGAGTTAGATACGCATTTAGTAGGATGCTAAAACCTTGTCGCCACTTCAAGCATGCCACGAGGCGGGGGATAGGGCCAGGCAAGCGAGCAGAGAACATTGGGGAAAGAGCAAGCAGAGATTCTTTGGGAAAGGGCAGGCTAGCAGAGATTCTTTAGGAGTTTTGACATGCAGCAAACCGAGAGAAAGAAGTCATGCAAA